GCGATATAAGGGGGAACGGGTTTGTCTTGATCGATCGTTTTGATTCCCCGACTCTAATATTGCCTTATACGGGTTTGACTCTGTTGCCTTGGTCGACCGCTCGTGCCGCGTGGCGGCCGCAGTTTGATTGTCGCTGGTGTCGCCAGGGGGACTCGTGTTCTTGGCGACGACTGGTCCTGGGTTACGAGGGATCGACACGTTTTCCCGAGCTTTCCCGTAGTGCGGGGGCGCTGCCCGCGCAATTTCGAATTCGGTTGCCGGCGAGTCCTCCCGCCTCTTTACCCTCCCGGAACCTTCCGCGCGGACTCTGTGAGTCTGACGCTGAGGCTTGAAGGCCTCGAACCAACCACCTCTACAGCAAAAGACCCGATGATTTGATCACTTCGTGAGGCCTAGGACGAGGCCTGAAGGCTTCGAACCCAACACCCATCCGGGCCATCCCCCAATACCCTGACGGCCGAAGTTTTGTCTTCCGCCGCCATGGCTCTTTCCCCTTGATGCCTTTTCTCGTCCTGATGCACGAGGGCAGTTCGTTTTCGCGGAAACCCTTCTGATTTTATCGTTTCGGAGTGATCCGACCCCCACAGGATTTCGCGACGACAGTTCGACTCCAGGGTAACCTCTAGCACGAAACGAGAGCCTCCCGTTCCGTCTGGGAGACTCAACACCTACGGCCAAAAATCCTCGGCCACGCCCCTCCAAGAACTCTGATCGGCGACCCCGTACGGGAAGCCGCGAGGGAGCGTGAGGTTGCGTGTCACAGGCGTACAGCCAAAGCCACACCTCTTTGTAGTCAGTGTCCTGGGACAAGGATTGAGGACCTCCAGCATATGCTAGTACACTGTGATCTCTCAAGGCCCTGTTGGGAATGGTGGAGATCAGGATCAGTCCCAATGCAGGATCCAGCGGAAAGATGGACCGATAACTTCATACTTTTGGGGGCGGCCACACGGCGTCAGGTTAAAGGGCCATTGCTGTTCCCGGAAGAGACTCTTCGGGGATCTGTGTTGTGGACACTTTGGACGCTCAGGAACTCTGCGCTCTATAGGGGGGAAAGACTGACTCCGGCAATGATACGAGCAGAGGTTAAATTTGGTATAAAACAGACCATCTCAACTGAGTGGTCTCTCAAAGTCCAAAAAACAGGATACACACCCAAGGCATTGAGAACCTTCCTTCAACACTGGGATAGATTTCCACACCTGCTCAAAGTGCAGTCATCTCAGGGAGCTCAGCCACAGATTCAATTTTCCTCCTTTTTTGTTGCCTGATAGAACTGCAGTGTTAGCTGCGGTGGGTAATGATGACAGTTACCTGCTTTGGACTTAGTTTTGTTCTCCCGTTTTTTGGTTTCTGTTGAGGTAGAAGGGGTCTTCTTTTTCGAGCCATACTTCAATTTGCCAAAATGGTTTTGTATTTAGTCAAAAAAAAAAAAAAAAAAAGCACAGGCTTTAGTTTTGCTTTCTTGACTTCTTTGTTGTCTTTTTAGTAGTTTTCGTTTGTTCATTTTTGCAGACTTCCAAGTCGTACTTCTTGTTCTTATTAGATTTGGAGTTTGAGTATGATTAGTGTGAAGAGTGTTAGAAGTATAGGCTATTCGTGTGGTTCATTAGAAGCACATGTTATGGTTTGTTGCAGATTTCTTTGTTGTTTCCTTGCTTCCTTTTTCTTTGGGACTCAGTGACCCCTGATATGGGCTTGGCCGGTGATGCCTCACTCATAACCAGGAGCCGCTTGCATACATGTGAGGGACGCCGGACCCATTTCCCGGTTTGTTATATAATGCAAGAAGAGCAAACCAAAAAAAAAAAGAAAAGATATGTATTTTTCATGGCTACGATCCAGACGTCCGGACCACCATCCAGACGGTCCGGATTCAGTCCGGACTCCAGACGTCCGGTCTGGAAGGTCCGGATCTGCCAAGTTTCGAGGAAAAGAAAAAAAAAAAAATGGTCGAGGACCCTTCCCCATTGAGGAGACAAGCCCCCAAAATTGTTTTGGGGTTTTTTTAGGCCCGTTTATGCTTTTTTGAGGGGTCCGGACATGCTCTCTCTTTATAATAATTTATTAGACAACCCCAATTCTTTAATTATTAATAATTTATTACCTTTTATTAGTTTTTGAAGGTTTTTTTAACTTTTTTTAAGCTTTTTTATCGTTTTCGACTTCTAACTCAAGTTTGGTTTGGAATTCTGACATGACTCCGAGGCAAAAGTGGTTTGCATTGCTATTCTGCATAACATACTTTTTTTTTCAGATTTTTTTATTTTCATTTTTTTTAACGGTCCGGACATTTTCCGGACCTGTCCAGGCATCCGGACCGTCCGGATCCCCCCATGTCCGGAGGTCCGGAAATGTCCGGAATTCCGGACGTCCGGAAACTACCGGACACGGGTCCGGTTCCATGTCCGGAAATGTCCGGGTCCGGGTCCGGGTCCGGCGTAGCCA